TAATTAAAATTTAATCAATATAATTAAAATTCTACATATGTTAAGATTTATATGAAAAAAAAAAAAATAAATAAAAATAAATAAAACAAATCTCTTTAAGATGATCTTATTCTTTGAGTGAGAGGGAAATCAAATCGTCAGGCACCAGATAAATAACCCTAACACGTAAAAAAACATTTAATATGATAGCTTATACTACGGCTAATACATTGTAATTGAATAGACTAACTAAATGAACGATTTCTTTCATTCTAAAAATAATCATAAAATTCTGTATATAATATGTTTTTGATAACTTTCAGTATATATACATTAATAAATTGTAAAAATATAAGCAGCCATTCTTAGTCAGAAAATCATAATGCCCAGAATTCTGGCCATACAGCAATTGATTGCACATGTTGCAACCTGGCAAATCGAAATTATCGCATAATCGTGTAGAGCGCGCGTTGAGGCAATTTCGGTTTGGATTTGTGGCTGCTCGGCACAGAAGCGACAGCGCGTCGCATGCAGCAGAGAACATTGCAGTCGAGTGCAAACTTGTGGCAGCTACTCTGGCAGCCACTCGCCGTGGAGGAGAGGATCGGCCTCTGCTGCGGCCTCAGCCTCACATGTGCTGATGATCAGCAAACAAAAGTCACATTGGTCACGATCGAGTCGGACAGGCGACGGCCTGCTAGCAGGAGACTGCTCTAATTGAGCGTGGGCGTGGCAGTCATTCAAATGACTCAAGCAGAGCATACATATTAATGAGTTGCAACATGATGGAGCTGCCATACAATCAAATTTTAAAGTGGAAAGCGAAAAGGAATGCAAATGAAGTCCAAATTTATTATATGAAACTTTTAACATTGATATATATTTAAAGATAAATACAAGTTAAACAAATTTTTGTTTTTTTTTTTATATAATTTATGGAATATATAGACTAGGGTAGAGCAAAGTCTTTCTGGCCATGTCAGATTTTTTTATTTTTTTTTTTCCCCCCATAAAAAACTCACCGAATTTTTATATTAAAATGTAGCCAAGCTAATGCAAACTTTGACCCCCTAATCGAAGTGTTTTTACTCTATCATTCATTTATGATTCATTTCAGGCTGTGCCCTATCAGTAAGTCACGGAGCGAGTCCATCAGTCACTCAGTCGTAAAAATATCAAGAGTTTTTTTATGGCTAACCAATTTTGCCAGAGTTCAGCTGAGAGTGTGCCACATATCAAAGTTCATTGAAATAAATCAATTAAAGTCGCCGAGTCGTGAAAGTGCCAAAGATTCAAATCTAATCGGCCTTTGTTAGTTGCCATTTCTCCAACTTGACAAGAACATCCATATAACTTTCTGTCAAAAATTTAAAAATTTCGAGCTTGACAAGAACATCCATATAACTTTCTGTCAAAAATTTAAAAATTTCGAGTTTTTCCTTTTATATTTTTACAAATCCCAAGTTTAGTTGTAGGCAGATCATCCCTTCTGACTCACACAATTCGTTTTAGAAAACATGTCGAAAATGTTGAACAAATTTGTAATTATTCTGATGGTCTCTACACTCGCCAGCAATCGAGTCACTGCTGCTCGTGCTCCTGCTCCTGCTGCTGGCCCTGCTCTCTACACAATCGAGGGCAGCATCCTGCCGCTTGATCCAGCAGTGCGCGTCCCTGAGCGCTGGCCGGCCGACGTAAGCCTCGCGCTCAACGGCGGCGAGTATCTGGGCTTCGTGCAGGCCGATGGCAGCTTCCGGATTAGCGGCGTGCCCTCTGGCAGCTATGTGTTGTACGCCCATCATGCGGACATATTCTTTCAGCCGATCCGCATCGATATTGCCCACAATGGGAAGTTTCGGGCACGCAAGCTCAGCCACCTGAGGCCGTCGCAGGTCGTGAAGCTGCCCTATCCGCTGATGCTGAAGCCGGGCATGCCGCGCCGTTACTTCCGCACCCGGGAGCAGTGGAACATATTGGACTACATGCTGAATCCAATGGTGCTGCTGATGGTGGTGCCSCTCATCCTGATGCTGCTGCTGCCGCGACTCATCAACGACCCGGAAACCAAGCGTGAGATCGAGAACATTCAGTTCCCCAAGATACCCACAGGTGTGCCCGATCTCAGTGATATGATCACCTCGTTCCTAACCGGCAACCGACCCGTGGAGAAGGAGAAGAAGCCCACCGGAGGGGGCTCCAGCCGAAAACGCAACTAGGGCTAAGTGCATCGCTGTCAACTGTAAATGGAGTTCCTTACCTAAGATTCTCGCTTGTTAGCTTATATTAATTCTTGCTGTGTGAATAATAGTCCAGCGTGAACAAATTCTTCTTCTTTGCTTCTGTTAATTTCCTCATTTGAAAAGGATAAAGGATATGGAATTCAATGTTAAGCAGTGCGAATTGAAATATAGTATATTGCTTCTTATGTTTCTTTTAAATGGAATCAATGATTTATGATAAACAAGATTTCAGTTGCCATGTCTTTTTTTACCGCTGCCATCTTTTCTTTGCTGAAAAGGTCAGACATTTAGGGGTTGCTGAAATTACAGTGGAGCTGCTGCAAATGGATGAAATATATCAATTTACAATGTGAATTACATTATTCATTCGTAGTCCAATATATACATATCATATCTTTTATAATTTCTAGAGAAAGTCTGATATATATTTATATATATATCCTATATTATATATATATCCTATAAGACATATTCAACCTTTATTTGTATTCTCTAACTCTTTCAGAACTATTATAAGAATTTTCTTCTTCCGAAGTCCCTTATGCTTTATTTACTAGCAGAGCAATCTATTAATTTCTCCAATCTTTAATCCTTTGAGAGTTCTATGGGTTCAGCTTATGCTAAGAGGAATAAACTCAATTTAACACAAATAGAAATAAATCGAATAGCAATAAACAATCATAAGTACTTCCCACCTAAAAGGTTTGCTTTCAATATTAAAAAAAAATATTAAATACTACATACGTTTTTTAACATTTCTGACATCTCCAAAGATCAATTTAATCAGTTAAACTTAAATTGATCTTCTGCTAAATTTTTTCGTCGATCATTACTAATTTTTAGACCACAACCCTATTCAAATTTAGTTTCACTGTAAATTCCCAAAGCCGCCCTTAAATAAATACAAAATTTCCATTTTTATAAATTCAATAAAAGTCGGTTTATTTTGATCACAATGATTCATGTTTTCTTTTTTTTCCAATTTCATTCTCTTTGCCCAGGAATTTGGCAGCCCTGACAAGGGCTTTTCCTTATACGTTTTCTTACATTTTGAATATTTTCATCATAAATTTCAATTGATTGTTGGGCAATGGGGCCAATTAAAGAAATAGAGAGAGAAACACCCACAGCAGCAAACAGATGCCGCAGTCTTTCAAGGATGTCACGAGGCGCAGATGAAAACGATTCTGCAATTAGAGAGAGCGAAAGAGAGAGAAAGATTAGATTTTATATAAATACATATAAATAAAAGATTTATAGCAATGATAATTGCCAATGTCAATGATAATTACCTTGAAAAAGTCGGCTCAGTGGCTTGGCAAAGCTGCGTGGGCGTGGCGCGCTCGATGGGCGGCAGGCTGGGGCTGTCTGTGCCGCTGCCGCGACGCGCTGCGACTTGTCGAAATGTCCTTTCGATCTCGCAATATATATATACGTGTGATAGACTGTATATATGCATACATATATATATAAATATATATATGTGTGTGTGGCTTGATTTGTGGTCTTCGCTGAGTGCGTACAAAGAAGAGTCTCGCTTGACCTTGCCGCCGCGCCACGCCTCCGACTAGGGGAGGCGCCGCGGCTGGCCAAGCGTGGCAAACAAAAAGGTTGACAAAAAATCTTGATTTTGTTCGAAACAACGAAAAAATATTTTCGGTGGCAAATTCTTGGCGTGCCCACGCTTTAGGCGGTCTTCTCTTTCTTCACGCAGAACTGGCGCAGCGCCGCCAGCGAGTTGCTGGCGCTCAGATTCTCCGGCGCGGATGCATCGCCACCGGCTTGGACGGCTGCTGCCGCTGCCGCTGCCGCTGCCAGCTTGGCGCGCGTATTGGCTGCGCCGCTGCCGCCGCCGGCGCCGCTGCTGCCGAGCGAATCGAACATGGAGGAGAGGGCGTTGAGCGAGTCGCTGGGGTATTTCTTGGCGTTGCTGTCGCTGCCGTCGTACGACTTGTGACTGGAGGCGGGCGATTTGGGCGTGGCCGAGCGTTGGCTGTCCGCTGGGCTGCGCGGCGGCAGCGGCAGACGCGACGACTGCGGACTGCCGGCAGCGGACGATGATTTGGGTGAGTTGCCATTGTTGTTATTGTTGTTGTTGCTGCTGCTGCTGTTATTGTTGTTGTTGTTGTAGTTGCCATTTAGCAACGGCGTCTCGGCTTCAATTTTGGGCGAAGCAGCGGCCAGATCCTGCGGCTCATCGCTCAGCTCAGACTTGATTTCCATTTTAAGACTCGACTCTGGCTCCTGCTTGATGGGCACTTCCACTGACTGCGACTGCGACTGCGACTGCGACTGCGACGTCGACGTCGACTGCTGCTGCTGCTGCTGCGACGGCTGCTGCTTCTCTGGCGTTGGCGCCTCCAAGCGCGGCCTAGCCTCGGCGCTGCACTCGCTGCCGCTGCGCTCGCTGCTCGTGTAGCGATAGTGCTGATAGTAGGGATCGCTGGTGTCGATCAGCGGCTTGTTGTAGTCCACCGTCTCGTCGATGCCCAGCCGCTTCAGGATGCTGCTGGCCACCGGCGAGGTGTTCTTGGTGGACGAGTTCGAGGGGCTGCTCGCCGGCAGACTGGCGTGCCGCGGCGGCGTATCGAAGCTGGTGGTGAACATTTGCTCGATGGCGCTCAGCACCGAGGAGGAGCCGGCTTTGCCCGAGCCTGTGCCGGCACCAGAGCCCGCATTGCCGGCATTGGCTCCTCCATTCTTCTGCTCCAGCTCGGGCGACTTGTTCTTGGCCAGCAGCTGGGCGGCTTTGGCAATTTCCTCGGGCGACTTCACGCCCGTTATATACTGACGCATGCGCTCCGCGAAGAGCGCCGCCTCGGACTTCTCCGGCTTCGGCTTCTCCAGTGGCTGCTCCTCGGGATTGGCCTTCAGCTCGAGCAGCTTACGCACCGGCAGCGACTTCTCGCGCTTCTTGGGCGCCGGCCGCTTCCGAGCGCCCGCCGACTGCAGCAGCGGCTCCGCGTAGTGATTGTTCTTGGCCATGTGATTGCTGAGGTCGCCCAGCGAGCTGAACGCCTTGTCGCACACCTTGCAGGTGAGCACGGCGGACAGGGTGCGCGACTCCTCCGAGCTGAGGCTGTTCTGGCCGCTGTCCTTGCCATGGTCGTTGCTCGCATTGCCCGACTTGATGGAGATGCTCTGCTCCTGCGAGAGTATGTTCGTGTAGTGCTGCGTCTCCTGCATGTGCTTGGTCATCTCGCCCAGCGAGCGGAAGCTCTCGCCGCAGCGCATGCACTTGAGTATCTGCATCGCCTGCTCCACGCCCTTGCCCAGCCACACGTTCTGGCCGCGCACCAGCTTGCGGGGCAGCGGCGTGGGCGGATCGCCGCGATACTGGAACGCGTTCTTCACGTTCGCCGAGGGCGCCTGACTGCCGGACTGCTTGCGCTGCTGCTGCTGCTGCTGCTGGGACTGCGACTGCTGCTGGTGCTGCTGCTGCTGGTGGTGGTGCTGCTGTTGGTGGTGGTGATGGCCGCCAGCCTGCCCCGAGCCAGTGGAATGGTGGTGCGGCTGGTTGCTGGGCAGATTGCCGAAGGGCGGCACATTCACGCCGCAGTGCTTGCTGTCCTTCATGTGCGTGGTGAGCGCTTCGAGTGTGGGGAAGCTCTGCTTGCACCACACGCAGCGGAACACCGAGCTGGCCACGCCCTTGTTCTGCCAGTGCGACTGCCAGATGTTGTGGCGCGCCTTGGTCACTCCACTGCCACCGCCGCCGCCGCCCTCGCCGGCTGTGTTATTCGAGCCGGAGGAGCCGCTGCCGTTGCCGCTGCCGGAGCCCGTTTGATTCGCAGGACTCTTGGGCGGCGGTGCAACGGCTGCCGGTGGCGTCGCCTTGCTCTGCTGCTTCTCCTTGTGCAGCCCCGAGGAGCCACCACCACCTGCACCGCCCTTGACAATGTCCGACATCTTCTCCAGCGGATCCACCACCAGGTCATTCTTGCCATTCCAGTCCGGGAACTGCCCCGCCCGGAATATGTTGGCCGCCGCCACCGCGGCCAGGTAGGGATTGACGCCGGGCATCAGTGGAGCTGCGGCCGCTACTGGCGACGCATTGGCGGGCGGGCTATCCGACTTGAACATCTTCTTCACCTGAATCTGGCCAACGGGACTCTCTGCGTCGTGGCTGCGCTTGCGCGTGCCCACCGACAGGTCGAGCGGATTGTTGGCGCCGTCRTCGAACTCCTCCTCCTCCTCGGAGGCCACGGGCTCCGCGGACTCGGCGCGCGCATACAGATTGGTGCGAAAGTCCAGCGCCTCCGAGTTGCTGCTCGAGGCGGTGGGTGACGCTTGTGGCGGCAGCTTGAACGGCGCTGCCGCCTCGCTGGGCAGCGGCAGCGGCAGCCGCGGACCGGCCGCAGCGGCCGCTGCCAGCGGGAAGCCGTATTGCTGCGCGGCGGCAGCTACCATGTGCAGGTAGGCCTCCATCGAGGAGGGCTGGGCGGGCAGCGACTGCGGCACCGCTGGGAATGTTGAGTGCATTGTGGTGGGCACCACCGGCAGCACGCCACCCGACATGTTCCCCGCGTCCCGCTGGCCACCGTTGTCCGAGGAATTGGAGTCGTGCGAAGGGCAGCGCTCGCTGGAATTCGCCGATTCCGTGGAACGTGGACGTGCTGTGGGCAGGGCGCTGCAACGAGAGAATAGAGAGGGGGAAAATTGAAATAAGGATTGCACATTGGAATCGAACACGTATGGAATGGCGGCATTAGAAATGCAATCCATAGAAATGAAATTGAATTGCCGTCAGACGCAATTCAAGTTTCTTATATTAAATTCATTCTTACTTAAAGAAATTTAAAAGAAATTAATTTAATTTAAATTAATTAAATTAAGCGATGTCTGAAGAAGTTGCTCCCAATTTGATTGTAGTTGGGTATTATAGGTATAGGAACTAGAGTAAGAGCAAGAGCAAGAAGAATATTCTACTCAGATCTTGGGGAAATCCTAAATTTAAGTTTCTTGTTAAGACACTAATTAATGAGGTATAAATATGACAAATATATATTAATATTAATATATATTAAAATGTATGTATGTATACATGTATAATAGTTTTATATTTATGTATATTTATATATAGAGAGAGACAGCGAGTCAGAGTGAGAGTGGAATAAAGAGAGCATTAAATTAATTGATCATAATTCAAATGAGATCTCAGCTAAAGCAAATGGTCATCAATTCCATCGTTCCGCACTCGCTATCACTCTGTTCTCTCTCTAGCTCTCTGTCTCACTCACTCTCACTACAAGGCATCAATCAATCAACAGCTATAAATTGTGCTAATTATACGAAATGTTCAGAAATTAGGCAGCGTAATGAAGGCTCATTGATCACTGATCGACAATCGATAATCGACAAACAGAGATTAGTGATCAGCGATCAGTGATCACTGATCATGGGATCAACTTGTTATACAGCAGTCAAGTTCGCCGAGTGATCAACTCACTCTTAATGGCCGGGAATGCCATTTTGAGAGTATCTGTTTCTCTATCTGTTTCTGTCTCGCTCTGCAATTGGTCAAAGTGCGGCAGAAGAACTTTCCCCGCCCTCAATTATATAATCGACTCATTAGCGTGTGCGATAGAAAGAGATGACATTAATCACTCTTTGCTTTCCCATTCGCATAAGCTAACAATGCCTCTTCTCCGCTCTTCCCCGCTCGATCTTTCTGTCTTGCTGTCGATCCACTCGATCGTAGATCATTAGTGAAAGCTTGTCATTCGATCATCGTTCAGCTTTCGAGAGATCTTGACTGCTCCCAATCTATATATGCGAGTTATATAAATCCAAATGCATTTGATACTCGCGCAGAGTGGCGGCAGGGCCGGGGCGGCGAGAGGTCGGGGCAGCTAGCTATAAAAATCTAGTGGCACAACAATGGCAACAATATGAAACATATGTCAACATTTCGTTTGTTATTCAAATCCATAAACCAAAACGAAACTGTTCGCAGCTGTTCCAACTGACGCCCGCCGCGCTCCCCCTCTCGAACAGGCTGCCAATCCCCCTTGCGACGCCGCGCTGCTGACAAGTTTTGCTCGTAAAAATCGTTAAAAATCGGTTAAATTTATTTTGGAACAATGGCGTTTAATTCGAGACAGCCAAAGCGTGAATTATGATCGGAGCTCATCATCGCGATTATCAAGAGATCTTTCGTCATCTAAGATCGGTTTTATCTTCTACTCATTTCGCCGAACCGCAGAGGGCGGCCCATAAAATTGACGACAGAGCGAGCCACAAAAGCCATTCCACATATTTTGCATAAATTAAGTTGACTAAACTCCCCCCTCCCACCTCTTCCTCGTTCATCTCCACCAGCACCTCCTGCTCCGCCTAATATGCATAAATAACTAACAAAGTTTTATTGCCCTGCATCTACTTATAAATCTGCAAAAGGCACATGCTTAACTACATACATAGACACATATATCTAGATATATGTACATATTTATATATTTTTATCTATTTTTTCGTTTATAAATTTTGCTTTAGTTTTGATTTCCTCAATTTTTACACATATTCAAATTATTTTTTTTTTATGTTAAACACAAAAGTTGTAAAATGCTGATGGCAATTTTATGAACATTATTTTGTTGTTCGCTTTGTGAGTGTGTGTGTGTGTGTGTGTGTGTGTGGGCGTGGCTTAGGCGCTTAGAGCTGCTGACTTGCCAAGTTGCTGAATTTGCCGGAAATGGCAAAGCTTTCGACTTGACTGATGAGCGAATGGGTAAATTGGATTCATGGGAATTATTGATTGACAGGTAAATTATAAAATTATAACTGAGTCACTTTGTGGCATTTATAATATGTATAAGTAAATATGAATCAGTTATTGATTATGTCAGCCACTTAACTATGCAGCTGTAGCATAAGATAACTAAGATAAGCTATTCACTCTAACGGCAACAAGTTGGCAGCTCTGTTTTAACACAAAAAGGGGTCGAAGTAAGCCATGGATATGCGAAGACTTGCGAGTAAAGTACTAAAATAGGGATAGGAGCTACAGATTGAAAGATATTCTATATAAATTAGTATTTTCAAAGGATTAATATTTAATATGTATCAAAATATAAAAATAAAAAAAAACCTTGTACATTAAATAT